AAGGAGAAGAAGGACAGTGAAAAAGAAGCGGTAGAGAAGAAGAAAAAGAACAAAGAGTAAAAAAAAAGGAAAGAGAGAAAGATAGAAATGGATGAGGAAGATAAAGTGAAGAAAGGATTATTCCGAATTGGCGATTTATCGCGTAGAATAAGTTCATGGGAATTGTAGTGTCAGTTGTACTTTGAACGAGTAGGTTACTATAGCTGTTACAATGCAGAACGAGGTCATGAACTCCAAGACTTACCTACCAAATTGTGCTTTCCTAAGTGTGTATCATGATAATGGTGTTGATAACAGAAACTTTCTGTTGTGTTGCACCACAATTAAGGGTCTTCGACCCGGTTCGACAAGTTCGTCCACATGTTGCTGGTTCTCATCAAGGAGTAGTACTGCTGAATGTGCGATAGCCCTGGCCATCGTGGGACAGACTGAGGTGCGGCGACACGGGCTTTTTGCGGCCTGACACCATATCGACTTCTTTTTAAACCATATTATCATGCAAATCGGTCGGTCGAAGATGCAAAAAATGACGCCACCATCGTCGAATTCCGTCGCCGTCGTCTCTTGTAACTTTGGCTGTGTTGCCGGAACGAATTCTGCTGGATATGCGGCGGTTAAACTTAGTCCCTGCCGAACAGCACTTGAGGCTGCCCATTGACTCAGTGGTAGAGGTTGTGTTTCGGCACAGGTTTAGCGAGGGTCGGCCGATCGGCCGGTCCTGGCCCGCCGGCGTGCCGTATTTGTCTTTCCGCTGAGCTGTGGTGCGGATTTGCGGTAGACAGGAGCTCGTGCTCCGAGAGGCCACCTCAAAAACCAGTGCCGCCGGAATTTCGACCATCGAGTGTCCAGTTTTTAGGTCCTCGGCGGCAGCCCGTCTTTATGCGACTGTTTGCCTTCGGTCCCCTCGATTCTGTTTCGCTACAATGGTCGATTGTCAACGGCTTGTCGTAGAACAAACCGACTTCTGTTGCGTAAGCGGATGACCATACACTCGAAGCGGCGGTTTCTCTCAACCAAGGGGTTTCTGAGTATGACGTAACCGAGCCATTTCCCTCTATTTCATGTGCGTCTCTTCGGTAACTCAGAAACACATATCCCTCATCAGGGCTAGAATTCTTCAAGCTTCGCCCGAAAACAAAAATTCCACAAATTTCGATCCCTAGCCGTTGAAACGCGCTACAGAGGAATTAGCTTTAGCTTTACAGCGTGTTTCGTGAACTCCATTTATCGATTCAGTTTCTGCTGAGTAAGAGTCGGTCAACGGTACAAGACATCAGTCGAAAGTGATGACGAAAGTTCTTTTATTCGCCGACTTGTTTCGATGCCTCGCCCTAGCTTTGATATCAGGGTTACATTCCACGTGCACGGAGTTGACTCTGCTGGTCGATGGGCGCCAGTGAGTAAAGGAATTTGCACATTCTTTTTCAATTGCTGCCTTGAATCATGGATCAAGAAAGGTAAATCATCAGATCACTTGTAATTATTGAAATTCTCCTATGCGAAAGGTACGGTAATAACTCCGCCATGGCCGGTCCCAAGCCCGGATGAGAAAGGAGGAGGGTTGGAGACCGTG